ATTCCTGGCTACGACTGGGTCAGGAGTGACGTGGGGGAATTTTAGAGCATCTTTAGGTCGTTTATGGAGATCAACGCGATGTGGAAATCGCATAGGATTTTTGAATCCTCTCTTTCCAAGCTTATCCGGTTGGAACCGTGTCAGCCCGGTGAGTGTGTCTATATGGGGGGTCCTTTTGATAGACCATGGGCCAAGGGCCCAGTGACCAGAGCTATGGCTAGGAGGATACAGGAAGAGCTGGATGTTGAGAAGACTAATGGGCTTGTTAGGCCCAAGGTAATCTTCACTTGGAATGCTCTATCATGAAGAAAAGGCCTTAGTTCTACTTGTTTATATTGTACAGTTCATGCATAGTCTTTTGTATAGGTTATTTTTTGCCTTTGTATTGTGAGGCACTTTATTTGCTTTTTCCTAGTGATTGTATATTGTTTTTAAGGTAGGTTACTTGGAGAGTTTAACTCCATTTAACCTCCCTAGATGATACATTCATTTTACATTTTTTCAGTAGGAAAAAGGGGGTGACATTTAGCAATGCTTGAGGTGTAACTAGAAATTGGGCCTGAGTTGGGCCTAGGCTAAATTTTGCATATTGGACTCATTTTGCTCCTAATTTTTCATAGATTTGATTTAGCTAGGTCTCATCATCATATGATGAACCTAACTAAACCAAATCAAGGTTTTTCAAATTAATTCAAGGAGCAAAATGTGTTCAAGGCCGCCTAGCTCTCTTAAGTCTCCTTGGCCGAAATTTCTAGTTGTTCTTCTTGAGTTTTGAAGCTTGCCTTGCAAGCTTCTAAACTCAAGTAAGGTAAGCTTACCTTACCATGGTTCTTAAGTGAACCATGGTCAAGGTTAGCTTCCCTTGCAAGCTTGCTAAACCGTAGGGAGTTAAGTAAACCTTACCATGGTTCCTAGTGAACCATGGTTAAGGTTAGCTTCTCCTAGAAGCTACCTTTTCTCTATATATTTGTAAATACCTCCTTTGTAGTCACTTTTGACATAAATGAGAATTGAACTTCAGAATTCTCTCTCAAGAGTCCTCTCCCAAAACCGTGAGGAATTTCTACTCTAAGAAATTCACCAAAGGTTTCAAACCTAGCCTAGGTTTCTTAAGCTTCTACACTACACTAGAAGTAACCGAATCTTCTTCAAGGTTTCTCCTCCATGGAAGCTTTTGCTCATGGAGTTTCAAGCTTTTCTTGAAGTCAACCTCAAGGCATAATCGGTCCTAAGCATGGAGTCATTGAAGAGCAACAATCTTCTTCAATTAATCTCCATCACCTTCTGACGCCCCTTTCTTCTACATGTACCAGTGCTTTTTTAGGAATTTGGGCGTGCATCTTCGCTTTTTCCAATTTTAGTGTGATTTTTTAAATTTTTTCAACTCGGCTCCTTGCCAATTGCAGCCCAATAGTTGGGGTTTTCTGAGGGCCTTTCAGGTTCTATGTTCGACCCTAGGGATAGAGGTATCTCTCCCTGTCTTTCTTCATTTTTATCAACTGAAGCTGGGTGTACCCCCTTATGGTTGGGCTTCTTTGAGCAGTAGTAAGGCTAGGGGATTATTTTCCCTCTACTCCCAGTCTTACAAGAATTTCAAACAAGAGTTTTTCTGGGTTCGGCTTGTGGATGTCAACCCGCTAGAAGATGGGGTATTTTACTTCGGCGGGTTGCCGAGGTTCCCTCTTTATTGGCGGCAAGCTCCGGCCAGGTTTCATGGGTCGGCCAACCTTCAGTTGACGGCCTCGGAGGTTGCTGCCATTGCCGACCTAGAGGCGCTCCCTCGTCCCTTGGACTGCAAGCTTGTTTTGTCGCTTGCTAACTCGGTGTACAAGAAGAAGGGCCTAGAGAGTGAGTATCTCGTCTTTTTGGCTGTTAAGGTTTGTAAATTTTTCTTCCACTGACATATCTGATTCTTGTATTTGCAGGCATAATGGGCAAAAGCAAGTGGCGCGAGCTGAAGTCGCGCTACAACGTTGCCGAGATTGAGGTCCCTAAACCTCAGGAGGAGGAGGTGGCCCCCCTAGAGACCCGAAGAAAAAGAAAGAGGGGAGAGAAAGAGGCCGGGGGGACCTCTGCCCCTCGAGATCCCGAGGAGGTGACTTCGAAGGCTGCCGACGCTGGCGCAGTCGACCTCACTGGGAGTCTTCCGCCCGAGGGAGCTCCCAGGTTGTCGTCGAGGGGATCGCCTAGGCCGTCGAGCAGGTTGCCCAGGCCGCCGAGGTTAGTGCCCTTCTTTGTGGTTTTCCTGGTATATTGCCCTTTCTCGTTCTCCTGACTTAGGAGTAAAATTTTGTGTTTTTGTTTTTGTAGTCGAGAGATCCTGCCAAGGTCCCGGTGGCTCCAAGTTCGGGGGTACCAAGGGCGGGTACCCACGTTGCTGAGCAGGAGGCGCCTGTCTCTGCTTCTGCCGAGGCCCGCGGGAAGGGGCCGAGCTTCGAGGTCCCGACATCTACTCCCGCGACCTCGAAACCACAGTCCGGTCCTTCAAAGGGGCCCCCCTGAAGCCAATACCTTGCCCATCGCTTTGGAAAGGATC